ACCTGCCGCTGCAAACGCTAGCAAAACTCCGGTCAACGCTAGCGTACGCTAGCGTGACGCTGGGAACGCTAGATCGATATGCATCCTCTCCCCAGCACTGCCGCTGGCGTACGCTGGAAGCGCTACGCTACGCTGCCGCAAAGTATAAACGCAGCCTAAGACATGGATGCGCCTTCAAACACCGCTGCCGTGACAGAGGCGCTTTGTGTTGGGGAGACCAGGAGCGCAATCATGGACGCCATCGTACAGTGCCGGGAGACCATCTTCACGACCACACGACGTCGTGTGCGCAGCAATCTGCAAATAATAGTGGGCTTGCAGTGAAGCGGATGAGGCCGATATAACTAATTGCGTCAGTTAGAACTAGACTGTCTTCGCTTCAATTTTCAGCTACGCTCCTCACTTCGGTAGGACTTAGATTGTCATGACCGTTAGACTTTGTTTCTACTTGCGTGACAGGAGTGTTACATGGCAATATAATGGCGCAGAGAAACCTGCACAGGCTCTGCTCGCGCGTTAATATAGCTCACCTGCCTGTCGTTTGACCCGCTTTCTGGACAGCATACTCTCAGAGATTGTCGTATTGTAGAGGTGCGACGGACTGTTCTTTGAAAAAATGACAGCGAAATGTCACTGTCACGAGAACAAAACCATCGCGATTGCGCGTCAATCGTAACCAAATTGTTTTCAATTGTCGCGCGCGATGCCGCGTGATCCTACCGTCACATATCCATCGGTGCCGGGGCGAGTGTTCCAAGGGGGTATAGGAGAATTAGCGGGGGGATGTTGTTAGATCACGCAGTCTGATAGCCTCCTGTTCTTTCACTTTCTTCTTAGACCAAGGCCCTAGCGACCGGCGCTGTGATCTATGCCCGTCCATGGCTGCGTTCCCGTCTTTGGCAATGGAGCGCTGATGCAGTGGTAGCGCGTCATCACGAAGTCTGAACGTTGCCTGGCACAACGTAACACTTTCCAACGAGGCTCAGTCAACTGAGAACGTGTTTCCATCTCACCTAGACAGCATCATAAAGCTTCGTCGTATCAGAACATGACGAGGCATGGCCTCGTTGAAGAGTGGTCCCTGCCGAAGAACATAGCGCTACAACACAACATAGCGTCATCTTTATCACCTGTCCTCGTGTTGATCATAGTTTCGCTACTGCAGGTACCAGTATAGTCTTCACTCTCTCATGCAGTGCTAGACTTGCCCCATGGGTTCTTTGTGCTCAACGGACTCGACGCACTTCATTATATTTGTTCGGAGTCTTCACGAAGAAGTCAGACTAGCAAGCTGGTGGCCATTCAAGCGTTATCTGTCGTTCTGTGAGATGATCTTCGATCGTAGGCGGAGTAGGTACCTCTGGATTTCATCTCTCACTCCCGCTGCAGACCTCGAGCATTTATCTTTTGATGGAGCACTGAATAACACTTATCACATGGTCGTTCTGTCTATGTCGAGTTCCAGTCTTAGGCCTAGGTTGAGACACTGACGACAGCGGAATCGTAGGGATGGGCGTGAAGTCGGATGTTCTTCGTGTTCTTCGATACTCCGCTGTACTTTTGAATGCTCATTAAGCCGCTTGTCTCCATCTGCACAGCAACTCGTTCTTGTTTGGTGGATACGGGT